TTGTAGATAAATAAAGGGAGGAAATTAAAATGATCCATGTGATAGTAGGTTAAATTTAGAAGCATCACTGTGGGTTCATATTTAACTTAATCCAGACACAGGTACTTTAGAAGTATTTATACACAGGTTAGTATGAGCATAGTAAGCCCCAGTGAAACAAACTTGCTCTTGCTGAGGATGGATTACTTCTAGTACCATTCTCTGCTAAATGTAACAAGATTTTTGGAGAAATAAATGGCTGCTCCTATAACTCAGGCAGGAAATACATAAGATTAGCCTTGTACATCTTTCTGTATTAAAAAGTAAAATAACAGCATAAAACACAGGAACTGTTGGAGAACTCCAATAATAAAAGCTAAAACTTTCTGTGCAGCAACCTAAACAACTTAACTTGGAATGATGATTCAAAATATAGAATATCCCTGTCTTGTACAGATGCTGAGAATTTTAAAAAAAATGGAGGAGGGAAGTAAAGAAGAGATAAATCTTAGGGACATAATTCCCTGCTGTTTGGTGATGAGTGGCCTGTGTTGACCTGTTTCCCAAGAGTACTCTATGGAAAGGAAGACAAGCGAGTAATGGGGAAAGTTGACCAGCACTCCCTCAGCCAGGTGATGAAAGCCAACACCACCAGTCACAAATCAGTGCTGTTAGCATTTCTGCTTGATACAGTATGACCAAAACTGACCTCTTCCAGTGTAGTTTTCTTCCCAATAACTCATCACTCCAGTCTAGCATTAAGAAAAACAACAGAAAAAAACCTAGTAATGGGCTATCCTATAAAAAACAAATCTGACCAGTATTCCTACAATTTTCATGATCATGAAAAATGAGGAAAATCTGAAAAATTGCCAAGAGGAGCTTAAAATTACATGACAACTAAAAGAAATACAGTAACCTAGATGATGTCTTAAACAGAAAAATAACATTAAGTAGAAACTAAGGAAATGTAAATAAAGAATGGGCTCCTTAACAATAATGTAACAACACTAGTTTATTAATTATAATGAATGTAACATACTAATGTAAGATATTGTCAGAAACTGGATATGGAGTATAAGGACATTCTACTTAATCTCCATTTTTCTGTAAATCTAAAATTGTTCTGAAAAATAAAGTCAAATTTACAAGGCTTTTTACAAGTTACAAATGAATACAGAGAATATAAAATATAGAAGTTCAAAATGTACAATCAAAACTCCATATTACACAGTGATAGCAGGAGATTTTGTGTTTCTGTTTCATAAGCATGCTTATCTTATTTTAGGGCCTCCCAATATCTGTATGTCTCTGTGTGTATATTTTTGCAGCAGAGAACATGGAACCAAGAAAGAACTAAGACAATTTCTTGACCAGAAGTCCTTTTTATTTTTAAAAACTATTTTTATCATGGGGCTGGGGAGATGGCTCAGCAGTTAGAGTGCTGGTTATTCTTTCAGAGGACCCAGATTTGTTTCCCATAAAATAATAATTATATTTACACATAAAATAATATTTTTTAAATCCTGAAAAATAAAACTATATTTATCAGAAGGAACAGTCAGTATGGCTCTTTCTTAATTGCTGAGACACTTGGGACCTGTTCTCACATATTCCCTTCCCCCCTTTTAAAAACCTGTTAAATTTATCTTTATTGAAAATAATCTTTTTCATATAATATATTTTGATCACAGTTTTCCCTCTTTCATCTCTCAGATCCTCCCACCTATCCAACTCCATGGCTTCTTTCTCTCTCTCTAGGAAACAAAGAAGCAAATAAAGAAACCAAAAGAAAAGAAAAAGCACAAGAAACATGCACACGCAGACACATACACCACACACAAAAACAAACCCCATAACCCCATAAAAAACAAAACCCACAAAATCAGAAACCATAATATATAAGCAAAAGACCAGCAAGAGTGTTTAAAAATGCCCAAACAAAGCAATATGGAGCAAAAAGTTTACAAAAGTACCATTGTGTTTGTTTCATGTTGGCAATTTCCTGCTGTGTATTGGGCTAATCTTAAGTCTCATGCTGCTTTCTAAGGTTAAGTGTTAGAGCTCAAGATTCCACTGCTTAGTGACTTTAATAATGTTTAATGTATTTCTTCATGTATTTCAGTGACTAGATCATTCTTTTCCTGGCTGTCGTCTTTTCTGTTCTAATGTGAATTCCTGCCTAATTTTTAAAGTGAAAACTATGTTAAATAACTTTTCCCTCTTCCTTCCTTTTTGTGTTATGCTTAAAGAAAACACTGGATCTACCTTCCGAGGAAAAATTTAAGGATCCAAAGCAGTATTGTTGGCTTCAGCATGGTGTCGTAAAGCAAGTTTGTTTGTAGAGCTGTCTCATCTTCCATGACTGAAGCAACTCCCCCATTTTCCCCTTCCAGTAACTTACCACTGTTAACTTTTAGCTTCAGTGAGTTGGACTACTTTAAATGCTTTGTCCTAGTAAAATAATATATTTGTCCTCCTGTCACTTAGCATATACTCCTAAAAGTTTATCTGTGTCATAGCATATGATAGTGTTAATGGAAAACAAAAAACAAGTTTTACCTCAAAAAGGATGAGATAGTTTATTCTTGAGCCAAATATCAGTGACTATGACCTGGCGATACAAATTCAGGTTACCCCACAATCCATGCTGCAAGATCGTAACAGTTTCGTGACTTTTTATAGTAACCAAAGAACAAAGAGACTCATAAATCAAGGTATTTTCAAGTACGTTGGTGGAAAGGTAGGTGGGTTACAGCAAATTGGAGAAATCTCTGCTATGGACCTCATGCTTTCTGATGGCATTCTCAGCGTTTGGGTGGGTGAAAGGAAGCTAGTGATCTGTGAATACATTTCAGATTTCACTTGTTAATCACAAGCATAGTGGGTCAGACACAGAGATGGGCAAGGAATGGATAGTAAGGGTAGCTAAAGCTAGCTCAAGGTAATAAACTATAATTAGGTTCTGGGCCTGCATCATCCCAACCTCTCCACAGTCATTGAAGTTCTAGTTAGTTTTCAGCCTTTTACAGGGTTCAGCATATGGTATGGTTTCTTTCCAGAAAATCTCATTCACAATAGGATTTTCCTTTTAAAGATTAAGTAATATCCCAGTGTGTGTATATGCTACCCTCTCTTTATCCATTTGTCAGTAGACAGTTCATTCTTTTATTATTTTCCTCCGTGTATTTTCTTTGTGATTACTGTAAATAAAACAATGTTTTAAGCTGATAATATATAAATTAAATAACATATAAGATATTTCGTTCTATTAAAATTTCAATAGGCCGGGCGGTGGTGGCGCACGCCTTTAATCCCAGCACTCGGGAGGCAGAGCCAGGCGGATCTCTGTGAGTTCGAAGCCAGCCTGGGCTACCAAGTGAGCTCCAGGAAAGGCGCAAAGCTACACCGAGAAACCCTGTCTCGAAAAACCAAAAGAGAAAAAAGAAAATAACTCTCTAAAAAAAAAATTTCAATAGCATCCTATTACTAATTGATAGAATATTTCCCTAAGGGTATTAGTCACAGATTGTTTGTTGTTGTTTTTTTACTTCTGTTTTCTTCATGCTCTCTTTTCTCTCATTTGCTTTTTTTGCCCCTGTTTTCTATCCTTTACATTAGAAGCCTTTCTCATATGCCTGATAATCCCTGTCCTTATTTCGAGTGTAAAGTTGTTTAGAAGCTCTGAGGTCATGGCCTTTTGTACTTTGAATTCAAGGTGCTGTTTTGTAATCCCAGCACTTAGGAGGATTGTGAGTTCTAGGCCAGCCTGGGGTGTATAGTGAGACTCTGTCTCCAAATGAAAATAACAAAATAGCAATAACAGTGAACCAGATGATCTGGCTGGATCATTTGTTGGAGAACTCCCCTATTCCAAGTCAGTATTTTTGTCTTTCTTGGGGATTAGTTCCCCTAGAGGAGACTGTCCCCTGTGTTTTCTTGCAAAGGAGCTACCAGTGTTCTAATAGAGGAATGGTGGTCAGATATAGGTGTTCCAGTACTTGGTATGCATTCTTCAGTCTCCTTGCTTTCAAAAAGCACTACTCTTGACCTCAGCTATATGAGACATTCCACATTTTCTGACAATTAGTCTTCAGTTTTGTACCAGGATTGGTGAGTTGCCCTCACCCAGTACTATCATTGCAGAGGGGGTAAAGATCTAATTCATTTTGCAACAGCTTTCAACTTACCATCCTCATTTTAACCCTATCTAATCACATCTATTTCAGAGACACTTGAAGCTATCAGTTCTTGAACTGTTTGTGCATGCGTTCGTTTTTCTTTTTTCCTCATTTGTATATTTATTTATTTTTTAGGCAAGATGTCACTATGTTGCCCAGACTGGACTCTTGTCTCAGCTCAACCTTCCTAGTTGTTAGAACTATAGATTTTCATCACTGTGCCAACTTTTAAAACTTTTTTTATGTATATGTGTCATATATTTGTGAGGGTGTGTGTGTGTGTGTGTGTGTGTGTGTGTGTACATGCACATACATAGAGGCCAGAGGTCAATGCCACGTCTTCCTCTATTGCTCTCCACCTTACTTTTTGAAATAGTGTCTCGCAGAGTTTAGAAATCACCAACTAGCTAGACTAGCTGGCCAGCAAGTGCTGGGGATCCACCTAGCTCTATACATGAGGTACCAGGAATTGACAATCAGGCCCTCCTGTTTGTGCAGCAAGCACTTGTAGCCACTGAGCCACCTCCCTGGCCTACAGCTGACTTTTGAAGACTTTTAAAGGAGATTGAATGTGTTCTTGGATTGTCTGCCCCAAGGGTTAGCTAGTGTGCTTTGTTTGATGTGTTCAGTTCCCACTCATTCATTTCTTTTATATCCTTCAGAACATTGTTGCTGTCTGAGTTCTTTCTGACTTGGTTGGTTTCAGGCCTTGTAGTTTTAGAGTTCTGGAGAGAATAACATTAGATGACTGTTCAGTCTCCTATCTGAAAGTAATTCAGGCCGTAATGAAAGAGTTGCTTTCTTTCTGTGATATTTTTGTCACTTTTCAATTTGTATTAGGTGCTATACCTGAAGAACCTTAGTCCTCAGGTGAAAGAAAGAGACCTTGTCTCATTATTCGCTCGGTTCCAGGAGAAAACAGGACCACCCATTCAGTTCCAAATAATGACTGGACGCATGAGGGGACAGGCTTTCATCACCTTTCCCAGTAAGTAACTTCATCTAAATAATCACTCCATTGCAGCATCAGTTCATGTGAGCTACCTATTACCTTGCTGAAGTGGATACAGCCTTAGCTCATGGAAGGTATTCCTAGATCCTACTTCCTATACTTACTTCCTCATCTCTATGGATACTGTATTACCACCTTACCCCAATGTCCTAAATTTCCCAAGTTTTGACATTTTCTTTCTACCCTGCGAATGTTTATTTATTTTCTTTTTATTGACAGTACTATTTCTACTCCATATTATAATAGAATTATTCATAGTTAATATATTGGTATTGTTATCAGAACACATATAGTTATGCCCTATTCCTTTAGGACTAAGTGATTTTAAGCTGCTAATTGATTAATCATTACCAATTCATAATTATTGGAAGATCATACATTCTTCCAAAATTAATTGATTAATCATTACCAATTCATAATTATTGGAAGATGATACATTTTTCTAATATCACTTGCATGTCAGTGCATGGCTTGTGTTCTAATCCAAATGCAAGAATAGTACAGTAATTCTGATTTCATTAATAAGTTAACCAATATGTCTTTTGTGGGAAGAAGCTTGATACGACCTATATCTTTCATTGCCTCTAAATTTAAATACTCTGCTAATTTTTATGTGGGCAAGTGATTTTACACATGAAAACTGCTGATCCCATTTTCATTGCTCTCATGTAGCCTTGTGCTGTCTTTTCTACCTCATTGAAGATTTGTAGATCCCTTGTACCATTGGTTTTCAGTCTTTAGAAGTGAGAATTCCTATTAAGTTTTTAAAATTTTGTGTAAGTTTTTTAAAATTTTGTGGATTTTCACAGAATATATATAACCTACTAATTGAAAGATGCACAATACAAAAGCTTTATATTATTGTGTGTACATGTTTGTATAGTGTGTATGTGTACATATGTTCATGTGTGTACATATGCATGTGTGAACTTGTATGGGCGTGCATGTGGAGGCCAGAAGCTAACCTATAGTGTCTGTCTTCCTCAGTTGCTCTTCCTCCTTCATTTTCTCCCTCAACTGAGAGCTCATTGGTGTAGCTAGGCTGGCTGGTCAGTGAGCTACAAAGAATTACTCCCCAGCTCTGGCATTACTGGTACATGCTTCCGGTACCAGAGATCCAAACTCAAGTCTTCAGGGTTGCATGGCAAGCATCTTGCTACCAGAGCCATCTTTCTAGTCCCAGCTTTACACTTCTTAATTTGTGGCTAGTTTACTAATCCTAACAGCTATAGTACACACTTGAAAATCTGTGGTATATCTGAGACAAAGTGATCTCAGTATTGTCTACGTACAATTCCAAAGACTCTTGTCCAAAGTCTACCTCCTCCTTATTTCTTACATATAGTCTCTGAGGCCCATATTTTGGATATTCCTGATGTGTACTCTATATTCTCATACACATTTTCTGTATACCAGCAAAAGAAGTTCATTATCCCAATTAGGATTCCCACAAGCACTTTCCCTCTAAAAGAAAAAAAGTAACTAAGTATGCTCAATAATGTAATATCTTCTATTATTTGTGTAACAATTTTGAAAAATGTGTTTTTCATATCTATATCTAAGATAGAGTCATGTTTATAATTATGTTTAACTTATATTTCTTCATTTCGCTCCCTATGTATCCTTATTTCTTCTATATCTTTGAATCAAATACACATTTTGAGGGCCTTTTGTCATTATAATTATTATTATTATTATTACCCATTAATTTATTCTTGCTAGCATACAAACTGGGGGTTATAAGCATGACAAAAACATCTAACATCAGATGATTCTATAGCAAACCATTCCAAATTAACCTTGTAATAATAATTGAGTGATTAAGTGCTATGTAATTTGATGCATTTTTCTTATTTTTTTCCAGATAAAGACATAGCATGGCAAGCATTGCATCAAATAAATGGATATAAACTCCATGGGAAAATATTGGTGATAGAGTTTGGAAAGAACAAAAAGCAACAGTCAGTTGTCCAGGGTGCTTCCCTTATAACATCTGCTACAAATAGGAGTGCAGAAATCAGTGGTTGCTAGAGTGCATATCAACACATTTGGGTATATGTATGTGTCTAAACATACACACTGATCTTTCTTTCATCATAATCTAAGATCTAGGATATGTATATACATAGAAATTTGTTTAAAAATTAAGAGGAAATATTAGACAGTAATTAAGACAGTGGCTCTCAGCATTTAGAGAGAACTGGTAGAAATATTTTCCATGATTAAGTACTATATAGTCTAGAAAAGACTATATAAAATTGACACTATCCTGAGTATTAAAGATAATAATCAAGCACTTTATAGGGCAGATAATACCCTGAACATTAAGATTATATGAAAACCTTTAATTCTCAGGATATATTACACAGGAAGTTCTTTAATTTAATGTTTAGTCCTAGAGATAACACTTTTTCTGGGACTGTTTCCTATATACAAAGATTTAAAACTAATTCAGTGTTAAAATATTTATTTACTAGAACTCACTGTGTTTTGTCTGAACTTTCAACAGTTACAGTAGGTAGATTTATGAGTTTATCCACTTTTTTTTTTTAGTCTTTCCAGACAGGGTTTCTCTGTGTAGTTTTGGTGCCTGTCCTGGATCTCACTCTGTAGACAAGGCTGGCCTCGAACTCATAGAGATCCACCTGGCTCTGCCTCCTGAGTGCTGGGATTAAAGGTGTACGCCACCACCACCTGGCTTTATCCACATATTTAATGATTGCTTCCACATTAAATTTTCAGAGTCCTCAAAAAGATATTGACATATTTTAAACCAAAATATTGGTAATCTCATAATACTATTGAATTCAAAACAATAGACATTAAACATGGAGTAACTGCCTAATATATATTAAACATTAGGTGTATGAACTTTCGAGAGGGAACAAATTAGCAAAGAATACTAAAAGGACAAAGAAAGAAAGTTCTATACTTTAGAAGATAGGCATCCTGCCTCAAATCCCCTAGTGATTTGTTTATAGTTATTGAAGAATAGAAACACAATATAGTATAGACGAGATAGTACCAGCTTTGGAGTCAGACCTATGATCTTCATAGTCACACATGTTACCACCCTTAACTTCAAAAGTCACTTCACCTGAGCCTCATTTATCTCATCTATAAAGTAGCGTCATAGTGCTACTTACCTCACTGAGTAAGGGTTAAATGAGATTCTGTTATCCAAGGGAAAAAATGAAGGACATATGGGAAACTCCACTAAGTTCATCAAACAATATATAATAAGAATTCTGTTTAAAAAGGAAAGAAAGTAAATTGTGTAAAAATACTGCAAGAGGACCAGCAAAAATGACTTAGTGGGTAAAGACACTCGCCACCAATCATGAAGACCTGAATTCAAACCCTAAGACCTACATGATAGAAGGAGAGAACCAATTCCAGTAAGTTGTCTCTGGCCTCCAGAAATATGCTATGGCATGTGTACTCCCACATGTGTATGTCTAAAAATACACATAAATAAATATTTCAAATTGAGCGAGAAAGATTTAGCCATTGTGAAAGCCATGCAAACCCCAGCTGCATTGTAATAAAATACTGAAAATTCAAGAGACAGAAAATCATGACAATAACCAAAGAAAACTGAAATATTATTTATCATGAAACTCTAAGTGGATTAACAATTAACTTCTCATCAGAAATAGGGATGGTAGCCAGGGCCCATTCTTGTACTTTCAGCTATTCAGGAGGCTGAGGCAGGAGGATCCGTTGAGCCCTAATTCAAAACCAGCCTGTGTAAAGCAGTGGAACCCTGTCTCAAAAACTAAAACCAAGAAAAAGTGACATAATTAAGATCTCAGAAACAGTGGAGGTCACAGTGAAAGGTAAAATATCGCCCACATAAGTTTTAAAAGCTGGAGAATGTGTTGCCAGCAGACCACACAAGACATGCAAAAGGACCCTTGTCAAGCTAGAAGCAAGTGACCTTCAAGAATAATTTGAATCTGTACTTAGAATAGACAAAGGGGGTTGTGTGACTATAAAAGATAATCTTGAATACTTTTTCCTTTATTCCGTTAACTAATTATTTATTTATTTTTGGTTCTTAGAGGCAGGGTTTCTCTGTGTAGCCCTGGCTGTCCTGGAACTTGCTCTGTGGACCAGGCTGGCCTCAAACTCAGAGATCTACCTGCCTCTGCCTCCCCAGTGCTGGGATTCTGTTAACTAATTTTTAAAAGTTCTATTAAGTTGTATATAATTGCATTGTATTTCCTGTAACATAAAAGTCAATGTATTTGCCAATAACAGACAAAGAAGGTGGAAAAAATGCTTATTTTACTAAAAAAATAGCATAAATTCATAGGAACAGATAAAACAAAGGAGAAATAAGGTGGCTAATTTTAGAAAGCTGTAAACAATTCAGCTTCTTACAAATAGCAACATTGCATTAATTGATAATTGTAATGAATTTTTAGCCCTGCAACATGTAGAAATAGTCTGCATAGCTGTCATGCCCCAACCTCTGAGGAAAAGGAAACAAAAATACCACTAGAGATAAAGATCCATATTTATTGTTAAAAAGGTCAATCTTTTAAGATGTGACAATTTTAATCATATTTTTATAATAACAGAGCTCCAAAACAACCTGAAGCAAGGCAGCAAAGTCAAGAACGAAGGGAGAATAGACACATCTCTGAAAAGGTGGAATACTCAGTGTTTCATCTCTACTAGAAGGAGTGCTGCACAGATGCTAAACAAGGAAGTAGAATACTTCAACACTATGAGCTGAGTAGATCTGAAAAACAGCTATAGAACAGTCTACCTACAAGACGAGAATACAGATTTTATCCCATGCATATGAAACATCTTTAGGCTAGATCATGAGCTAAACCACAAAACAGGCCTTAATAAATACAAATAGACTGAAGTAATGTACAACATGCCCTCTGACCACCTGGAAGGAAGTTCGAAATCAGTAACAATCAATTGGGAAACTCACAAATATGTGGAAATTAGTCTCACTTCAATAGCAAGTAGGTCAATAAAGAAACAAAAGAAAGGCTGGAGAGATGGCTCTGGGTAAGAGTGCTTGCTGCTCTTGCAGAGGACCTGAGTTTGATTCTCAGTACCTTCATTTTATCTGTGTGGGAAGTGTTTAGAGATAAGCCTCTTTAATGAGAAAAAAGATCAGCAGTAATTCGGTTTATATTTTAAGCTGTAGGAAAAGAGTAGCAAACTATACCTAGAACAAACAAACAAAAAAGCATGCAAAATAAAAAGAGTTGAATACAATAGAAAAAAGCAATGAGCCTAAGCAAGAAACTGGCAAACTTTTTGCTAGACATTGCAGAAAAAGGTAGATTAATTATTAGAATGAGAAATAAAAAAAGGAGGGGTATTGCTACTTAACTTTGGGAAATAGAAGGTGTGTGAGGGAATACTGTTATACTTGTGTTTCAGTAAATTAACCTACCCAAAATGAACAAATTCCTAGAAAGATAAAGTACCAACAACAAAATATAGGAGATCAGAATAGACATAATAACTAATAGGTTAAATAAGCAGCAAGAAAGAGACCCATAAAGAAAAGCCCAGACCTAAATTGCTTTTTATTTGAATTCTACTAAATGTTTAATGAAATAGTAGTCCAATTTCTTCACAAGCTGTTTCAAAAAAAAAAAAAAAACACAAAACAAAAACAGGGAACACTTCCGAGATACTGCTACAACGTGGAAGAATCCTGAGAATATGTTCAGTGAGAGAAGCCAGTCACTGCTGATAGCTAATTGCAGGATTCCATGTATATGTAGATAAAGTGTCCAGAATTGGTAATACCCTATATAGGGTAGATAGGGATGACTAGAGTGGATGGGGATGCTTTGCAAGTAGATGAAAATGTTCATAAATCACATTAATGGTTGTATAATGATGAATATACCAAGTGGATGGATTTTGTGGAATATGAATTAAATCTCAGTGAAACTCACAAAAATAGGAACTTGGACATTATCCAAATGTCCATCTGTCAACATGAGTGACTTATGGCACATCCATTTAGTGGGATACTATGAAGCCATTAAAGCAGTAAACTCGATCTATGAATATATTGTGACTTGTACTCATATCCAAGATTTTATAGTAAGTTATAAACTAAGATGTGTGTATGTATAAGATGTATGTATAGTAAGGATACATTTTTAAGCAAATAGTTCATGTGCATAGTTTGTAGAGATAATTTTAAAACAAATATAGGAAAGAAATAGGGAATGTATATATAACAAATTGTAAACCTTCTGGAAGTGGGACTGGACAAGCTAAAAAGACACCTTCACCTGGTGAACATTTTTAGATGGTGTCATTTGGAGTGGTTTTTACCTTTTTCAATATTTTTTAAATTAAAATAATTTTTAAATATTCTTACAAACACTTGGCTTCCAGAATATTTGTCAGACCCACTCTGAGGAGTTCTGACTTTACTCAGGACAAACTTCTATTCATTTCTATATTGCTCACCTGATTAACGCTCCAATTTTTGATAGCGTTTAGAGGATGAGAAGTGAAGGACCCTGGTTACAGCCTCTTGCACATGTTACCCAGGGATGTACTTCTCAGCCAGGCTTCCCAGAAGGGACTCCTTCCTCTTAGGTGGAAAACCTTACCTCCTCCTTACTAGACCTACAGACCACTTTAAAATGGAGAAAAATAAAATCGAGGATACCTTTCAACTGGTGCAGAGATACAGAAACTTGTGTATCCAGACAACGAAATTCTACTCAGCAATAAAAACTAAGGAACCATATATGCAACAACTTGGATAAATCTTAAATGTAATTTGCTAAGTAGAAGAAGCCAGACTCAAATGGCTGCTTACTGTTATATTTCATGTGTGTGTTCTGGAAAGGGTGAAGCAATAAGGCAGAAAAACCAGTACATACCAAGTGTTGGCACAAGGGATTTTTTTTAATAATGGGAACATTATGTTGTTTATAGTTACAATGTGTATGTGTTGGTTTAAACTCAGAGAATTATACACCAAAAGAATGAATTTTAATGTGTGAATTTTTTAAAAAAATAAAAGTAATTTTATTGAAACAAAGATTTGGAAAGAATCATTTCCATTAACTAGTATTGCGTGGTCTCTGATTACTGCTAAAAAACCAAAGCCACTTTCTCTATTGCTTGTCATAGGTGAGCCCAAGCCACTAAATCAAAATCTCTTTATTACTTTTCTATTGCTGTGTTAAACACCATTACCCAGATAACTTATAGAAGGAAGGGTCTATTTGGAGCTTACAGTTCCAGAGAGATAGGAGTCCATCACCATTATGGCACAGAGTTGGGGAGCAGGCCAGAGGCATGGCACTGAAACAGTAGCTTAGAGCTCACATACTGATTCACAAACAGAAAGCAGAGAGGCACACTGGGAATGGTGTGAGTCGTGAAACCTCAAAGCCTATCCCTAGTGAAGTACATCTGCCAATAAGGCCACACCTTCTAATCCTTCCTAAACAGGTTCATCAACTAGGGATCAAGTATTCAAACATATGAGCCTATGGGGCCAATCTCATTCAAACCACCACAGCCTCTAGAGCTGGAGATATAGCCCACTAGTATTACACTTGTTTAGCATGTATGAAGCTCTAGGTTCAATCCTCAGTACTACCAAAAATTATTTTTTTTAAATCTGACCCAGATAGAGTGGTGCATGCACTCAAAACCAGACAGCAGGAAGATTGCTGGCAAAGGCTAACCCAAGCTGTATGGTAAGTTACAAGCCAGCCTGTGCTACAAATAACAACTTTCCTAAAGAAAAAAAATTTGTGTATACATACACAATTTTGTCATTAAAAAACTAGGAAATGTATTTGTTTCCCCAAGAGCTAATATTTGTTCACATACAATATTTGTTTTAGTGAAAGAGTCACTGAATAGTATCAAACTCTTTTTTTCTTTTTATTTTATTTTAGTATTTTTTATTTTATAATTTAATTTTATATATCAGCCACAGATTCCCCTGTCCTCCCTCCTCCCACCCTCCTCGCCCTCCCTCCAGCCCACCCCCCATTCCCATCTCCTCCAGGGCAAGGATTCCCCTGGGGATTCAGCTCAGCCTGGTAGATTCAGTCCAGGCAGGTCCAGTTCCTCCTCCCTTCAGCCAGGCTGAGCAAAGTGTCCCTTCACAGGCCCCAGGCTCCAAATGGCCAGCTCATGCACTAAGGACAGGTCCCGGGCCCACTGCCTGGGGGCCTCCCAAACAGTTCAAGCTAATCAACTGTCTCATTTATCCAGAGGGCCTGATCCATATGGGGGCTCCTCAGCTATTAGTTCATAGTTTATGTGTTTCCACTAGTCTGGCTATTTGTACCTGTGCTTTTTCCAATCATGGTCTCAATAATTCTTGCTCATACAATCCCTCCTCTTTCTCTCTGATTGGACTCCCGGAGCTCCACCTGGCCGTGGATCTTTGCATCTGTTTCCATCAGTCATTTGATGAGAGTTCTACCACGACAGTTAGGGTGTTTGGCCATCTTATCACCAGAGTAGGTCAGTTCGGGCTTTCTCTCACCCATTGCCAGTAGTCTATTCTGGAGGTATCTTTGTGGGTTTCTGGGGACCTCTCTAGCACTCTGCTTCTTCCTATTCCCATGGGTTCTTGATTTATCATGGTCTCTTTTTCCTTGTTCTCCCTCTCTGTTCTTGATCCTGCTGGGATGATCTGCTCCATTAAGCTCTCTTTCCCTCGACACTTGCCCTTCATTACCCACTCCCCTCACGTCCAATTTGCTCATGTAAATCTCATCCATTTTTCTGTCATTGGGTGATCTCTATCTTTCTTAGGGTCCTCTTTGCTAGGTAGCCTCCCTGGAGTTGTAAGTAGCTGTCTAGTCATCCTTTGTTTTACATCTAGTATCCTCTTATGAGTGAGTCCATACCATGTTTGTCTTTCTGAGTCTGGGTTACCTCACTCAGGATGATTTTTTTCTAGATCCATCCATGTGCCTGCAAACCTCATGATGTCATTGTTTTTCTCTGCTGAGTAATATACCATTGTGTATATGTACCACATTTTATTTATCCATTCTTCAGTTGAAGGACATCTAGGTTGTTTCCAGGTTCTGGCTATTACAAATAATGCTGCTATGAACATAGCTGAGCATGTGCCTTTGTGGTATGATTGAGCATTCCTTGAGAATATGTCCAAGAGTGGTATAGCTGGCTCTTGGGGGAGATTGATTCCCAATTTTCTAAGAAAGCCCCATATTGATTTCCAAAGTGGCTGTACAAGCTTGCATTCCCACCAACAGTGGAGGAGAGTTCCCCTTGCTCCACATCCTCTCCAACATAAGCTGTCTTCAGTGTTTTTGATCTTAGCCATTCTGACAGGTGTAAGGTGGTACCTCAGAGTCATTTTGATTTGCATTTCCCTGATGATTAGGGATGTTGAGCAATTCCTTAAATGTCTTTCAGCCATTTGACCTTCCTCAGTTGAGAATTCTCTGTTTAGCTCTATAGCCCATTTCTTAATTGGACTGTTGGGCATTTTGATGTCTAATTTCTTGAGTTCCTTATATATTCTGGATATCAGCCCTCTGTCAGATGTGGGGTTGGTGAAGACCTTTTCTCATTCTGTAGGCTGTCACTTTGTCTTGTTGACTGTGTCCTTTGCTCTACAAAAGCTTCTCAGTTTCAAAAGGACCCATTGATTGGTTGTTTCTCTCAGTGTCTGTGCTACTGGTGTTATATTTAGGAAGTGATCTCCTATGCCAATGTGTTCAATACTACTTCCTACTTTCTCTTCTAGCAGGTTCAGAGTAGCTAGATTTATGTCGAGGTCTTTGATCCACTTGGACTTAAGTTTTGTGCATGGTGACAGGTATGGATCTATTTGTAGCCTTCTACATGTTGACATCCAGTTATGCCAGCACCAATTTTTGAAGATGCTTTCTTTTTTCCATTGTACAGTTTTGACTTCTTCGTCAAAAATTATATGTTCATAGGTGTGCGGGTTAATGTCAGGGTCTTCAATTCAATTCCATTGGTCCACATGTCAGTTTTTATGCCAGTACCAAGCTGTTTTTATTACTGTAGCTCTATAATAGAGCTTGAGGTCAGGAATCATGATGCCTCCAGAGATTGTTTTATTGTACAGGATTCTTTTGGCTATCCTGTGTTTTTTGTTTTTTCATATGAAGTTGAGTATTGTTCTTTCCAGGTCTGTGAAGAATTGTGTTGGTATTTTGATGGGGATTGCATTGAATCTGTAGATTGCTTTTGGAAAGATTGCCATTTTTACTATGTTAATCCTACATATCCATGAGCCTGGGAGATCTTTCCATTTTCTGACATCTTCTTCAATTTCTTTTTTCAGGGACTTAAAGTTCTTGTCATATAGGTCCTTCACTTGCTTAGTTAGAGTTACCTCTGGGTATTTTATATCATTTGTGGCTATTGTAAAGGGTGATGTATCTCTGATTTCCTGCTCAGCCTGTTTGTCAATTGTATATAGGAGAGCTACTGATGTTTTTTTAATCTTGTATCCTGCTACATTGCTGAAGGTGTTTATAAGCTGTATGAGTTCCTTGGTCGAATTTTTGGGGTCACTCATGTATACTATCATGTCATCCGCAAATAGGAAAACTTGACTTCTTCCTTTCTGATTTGTATTCCCTTGATCTCCTTATGTTGTCTTATTGCTCTGGCTAGAACTTCAAGTACTATATTGAGTAAGTATGGGGAGAGTGGACAGCCTTGCCTTGTTCCTGGTTTTAGTGGAATCGCTTTGAGTTTCTCTTCATTTAATTTGATGTTGGCTGTTGGCTTGCTGTAATTTGCCTTTATTATGTTTAGGTATGTTCCCTGTATTCCTGCTCTCTTCAAGACCTTTATCCTGAAGGGGTGTTGGATATTGTTTAATTATTAAGTGGTGAGGGGACTTTTTGGGGGGCTCTAGTCTGTTTGGTGTTTTATAGGCTTCTTGTATCTTCATAGGCATTTCCTTCTTTAAATTGAGAAAGTTTTCTTCTATGATCTTGTTGAATATTTTCTCTGCCTTTGATTTGGTATTCTTCTCCTTCCTCTATCCCTATTATTCGTAGGTTTGGTCTTTTCATGGTATCCCAGATTTCTTGGACATTTTGTGTTATAATTTTTTTGGCATTGGTATTTTCTTTGACTGACGAATCCATTTCCTGTATTGTATCCTCTACACCAGAGATCCTGTCTTCCATCTCTTGTATTCTGTTGGTTATGCTTGTATCTGTGTTTCCTGTTCGTTTACTCAGAATTTCTATTTCCAGCAGTCCCTCTGTTTGTGTCTTCTTCATTGTTTTTATTTCCCTTTTCAGGTCTTGGACTGTTTCCCTCATCTGTTTCATTGCTTTTTCATGGTTTTCTTTCAGGGATTTATTGTTTGTTTTCTTTTGCTTTATTTTTCTTTTCCTCTAGTTTTTTATAGCATTCTTCCCATTTTTTGTTTGACTGATCATTTTCTTTATTGATTTCCTCCACTTGTTTGTTTATCTTTTCCTCAATTTCACTTTTGATTTCTTCTTTAAAAGCCTCTAGCATCTTCATGATGTTATTCTTAAGGTTGCTTTCTTCTGCTTCTTCCATTTTGTGAAGTTCAGGTCTAGCTGTTGGAGGAGGGCTAGGTTCTGGTGATGCTATATTGCTCTTTATTTTGTTGTATGTACTTCTTTCTTGACATCTGCCCATCTCCTCATGGATTCATTCCTAGTCTGATCAGTGTTCTTGGTCCAGTCAGAGTTGACAGATTCTGTGTTTCAGGAAGCCTCTCTTGGTCCAATGAGAGGTGGCAGATTCTGCTTCTCAGAAAGCCACTCTTGGTCTAATCAAGGCTGCCAGATTCCCTGTCTCCTGAGTTTACTCTTAGTCCAATGATGGCTCTTTGTCCAATGAGAGCTCTCTCTTTCTCTGGGCAGGGTGGGAGCTCTCTGGACTAGATGGGAGCTCTCTGGGCCAGATGGGTGCTCTGGGCCAGATGGGAGTTGGAGGCTGGTCACTAAGTGACCTTTCTTAGGAAGTGGCGGGGGTCTCGGGGCAGATGGGTGTGGGGACAGGGCATGTAGATTGTGGGGTCTGCTGGAGGGGTCTTGGAGAAG